GACAGGACGGCAGCGTGACAAAGGCGGAGGGCGAGGAGACGCGAACTGCCACAAACCTACCGATGGGCCGAAGCCCCCGCAGCTGTGCCATACTGAGGCAGACTATAGACTAAACACGCGTGTCTAGATAGTATCTGGTCTGTCAGTATGGCATCCTGTAATCCCTAAATTCCACTGCCGTTGTATAGCACACTCCAACGTCTTCGCTGAATTACTTTACTCCCGTTCGTCATATACAGGATAGGCAAATCTTCATAATCCTTCTGATTGCTAGGGTGCTGTTCTTAAAGATGGATCCACTTCCTGCGGCCACGCGGAATGCACCGGGACATATAACCATCGATGTGCTGCCTTAGGATTTGTTGTCCCATTAACCGTCTTCCATGACCGTTTGGAGCAGGCGTCTACTTTGGCAGTATTCAACCAGTCCTCCTGAGTTGATCAATTGCACTATTGCGTCCGCCGTTTTGGGTAGACCACGCTGCTATCTACTATTCATATAGTTGCCTATTTACTTATCTGCTCATTTTCAAATTAATATATATCCGTATATTTCGAACAAAATTGAGTCCGTTAGGATATTAGGCAGATGATATTTCGTAAGTCTTCGACGCTGGTCCCACAGGACGTGTAGAAAGTGTGAAAACGAGTGCGGTATATGTACAGTGGGCGGGCTAACTCATGAAATATCAACCAAAATTTCGAAATGCGTTCCGGCTTCGAAAAGATTTCTTAAGCAGGGTTGTAAAACGCATCATCCTGCAACAAAATTCTATGATAATTCAGTTACCTCAGGATGCCGGCTTTTGAACGAACTTCTTTCCTGCTGCATGCAAACAGTATACTCTGTAAAAAATGACTACTTACGTAGCATGCATCTTTCTCATGATTTTCGATGGCCATAAAAATGCAATTATATTTCACGGAAAACGTGCATAAAAACATTCATTTTCTTGATCATTTGGTAGAAAACAGCGTATTATTCCAACCTTTTACTCGAAGAAAGGGCATAACTCGGGTTTAAAAAGTTTCTTAATGTGAAATTTTTTAATAGCGCGAAATACCTCTTCATAAAACGCCATGTCTCTGCTTTAAGCAATGTGGCTTGTAAAGTAACAATATGGCTCAAATCCACTGCTAAATTTTATGAATCGCGTATGGAATGCTCTTAATACCGTAGAGAAATGTATGGTTTTCCGTACGCGGAAATAATACGGCTTGTAAGTTGGGAATCCTGAATTCAAGTGTAACGGAAAGTCAGGTTCGAAATTATTGGCGAATTGGAGAAGTTTTTGAAAACATGCTTTTCTTCGAGTATAAAATTGGAAGAAGACGTAATAGTCTACCGAATGGACAAAAGAATGAATAGTTCATGGAGGTTTTCATTTAAACATAATTAAATTTTTAAGGTGATCGAAACTCAATGAGAAAAATGCGTGCTACATAAGTAGTCATTTTTTGCAGAGTGCAGTTTTCGCATGCAGCTGGAAAGAAGTCCCTCGAAAGCTGGCATCCTGTGATAAGTGAATTATTATAGAATTACGTCGTCGAAACGTAAACACATTTCGGAATTTCGGTCGACATTTCATGAGTTAGCCCACCTACTGTATATATTTATCATTACACAGTTGTGCCTTAAATACGCATTTCTTATTTCCCAATCTTACCCCACTTTCGTTTTTACAATTCATACGCGCAGTTAATTGCTATCTTACTTACGTCGTTTGACCTATTTCTTTACGCAATCGCTTACATTTGCATGCTTCTTCCAATATTACTGGGATGAAAATCCACCTCGGACTATTCCCCTCCTATATTCAATCCTGCCAGATTCCAGCTGATCTTATCCAATGTTGAGACTCAGAGACCAATCGAGGACGATGGCACGGAGGACGACACCTGATTGGACGGCGCTCATTTCCGGTCTCCCTCTTGTTCGCTACACAACCAGCCTCGACTTGCGACAAAGTATGTTTGGGATTTGCTGCCGTTTGATAACAACGGTGGGATAATCTTCTTGAAAATGGCAAGAAAACCCATGCGCACAAAAGGGCGCGATGGAAACATTATGCTTTTGCGGGACCAGACTCGGCAGATGACACTGCACTTTTATCGGTTGCATCTGGCGAACTACACCCGGCAAGCACTTAAATGCCGGTCGGACCATCCGTTTCTCCTAGTTGTTCGCAAGTTTTAGCGTGTTTTTGAACGCTCAAATTTGAGTCGTCGCAGCAGAATGTAAATTAAAAACCCGCTTAAAGAACAGAAGAACCTACTTCAGACTCCCACCCCCTAGGGAGCAAGAAAGCTTGATCTTTTCTGCACAAAGTCTTCTCATTCCGAAGGGTTGTCGAGCCTCCGGAAAATACTGTGACGGCGGCCCGTTGGTCACCTACTCCTGCTATCCAACCTAGGTCCTCTGAAAATGGCGGACGCTTTCTGTGACAATGTAGGCATTTCGAAATTGTCCATGTCGACCCCGAGGCCGTTAGACTCGTGTAGTTAAAGTTCCGAGTTACGTCAACGTCTGAATTTTCCGGTCCTCCTGTTGACGTTACGTTCGCAAACAGACGGGTAGCATTTCTTGTTGACACAGGGACTAGCTGGCGTTTAAGAAACCGTATATTGAGGGCAAATAAGCACGTCTCTTTCCCTTTTGCCGTTAATCGACGTACAGTTCCATCTCGTTTCACCCGAATTTTACCGCCCTTATACGTTTTTTTGATATAAAATGACATCTAATATCTAAGATGACTACGGTTCCATTTTATTTTCCCCATGCCCCCGCCCAGCAGTAAGTTGGTGACTCAGTCGGTTCCAACATTACCTAGTCCTCCGCCCTGATAAACTTAGTCTCTGATTCCCCTGATTTCTGCTCTGAGCAGGTGACTGCTGTTCGAGACCTAATCCATCGGAAGTCAGATGTTTTTGCATGGGATGGTAAACCATCGATACGGGTTCGTCTCACACAATCCACTAAAATCCTCCCCCATTGTCCGTTCATTTGCCGAAGCAGTTGGAGCAGTCCATCAGGGACACACTGGACAAGCGTTTCGTTTGGCTATCTTCTTCGTCCTGGGCCTGTCCGATCGTTCTGGTTCAGTAGACCGATGGACTCCTGCACTTGTTTGCTGACTACTGGCAGTTCAATTCAGCAACCGTCAAAGATTCGTTACCACTTTCTCGCAAAGACACCGCCCCAGATGCGCTGGTAGGTGCTGCCTGTCTGTCCATGCTTGAACAATAGTCGGGATATTGACAGGTAGAAATGGCTCCCGAAGATCTACGACGGCATGTTCCATTCCTGCCGGGCTATACAAGTTCGAGACCATGCCTTTTGAGCAGTCGAACGCGCCGGCGATCTTTCAGCGTCTCATGGCCTCGGTTTTACGGACCTAATGTTCCACCGCGTGTTTGGCTTACCTTGACGATGTCATCGTCCACGGGTCTGCCGTCGGGTCGCACCTTTCTAATCTCCAAGCCATTATCATCTGCCTGCAGGCGGTCGACCTAAAACTGAACCCAGCTAAATGTCACTTTCTTAAGACATCTGGCTATTCTTGGGTAATATTCTCTACAAGGATCGTTTTGAGACACACGCTATGAAGGCTGAATAGATCTGACGTCGACCAAGGCTTGCGTCCGTTTCTGAACTCCACGGTTTCCTAGGACTGGGATCCTATTATTGTCGTTTCACCAAAAAATTTGCGCACATCACTGATATTTTTAATGATCTCATTAGTTAACAGGCCACTTATCACTGTTCCGAGGACTGTGACAGATCCTTCAAGCGAGGACCGCCGACATCGCCTCAGATGAGACAGTCCGTACTCGCCGTTTTAACAGAGCGAACATATCCCAGGCCATCCAAGAAAGGCAACTGAGGGAGTTTCAGCATGTTCTTCGTTGTCCACATCAGGAGCTCCGTGTTGCTGCCTTCGATCCGGCACCGTTGCCCCATCCGAGGCGTCTAGGGAAGCGTTAACTCGGAGCCTGACTCGACAGAATTCGTCAAGACATAGAGGTGGTTCTTGGGCATTCAGCATTTGGTATCCGTCGTTGGCGAAGCGAATGGATTGAACTCTCCGTATCTGCTGCCGCGGATGCTGACGCGTGAAGAGGTACAGTTCGGGACGGGATCGAGGCCAGCTAGATCAGGCATGATCGCAGCCGTATCGAGTGCATGTACAAGTACCACACCCATCATCCCCGACAGGATATCATCGGATACACTTCTATCACATTTCCCCTCTCCGAAAGTGACTATTCCTGTTGATCGCGGTGGAATACGTGGCTTAACCATTGGAGGCCGTGATCTTCAATCCCATCACCCGAAGTAGATACATCCGATCAACAGCGCACTTCCAACTCGGAGACTTATCGCCAAATCGACTGTAGAGGATGCAAACCACTGAAGCCATCCTAGCCAGCATCGAACCACATATTTATTTGAGATGCTACTGCAGTCAGTCAGTCGTCGTGACAGTACTAACCATAGACCCGCACACACACAATGTCAACCAAGTCTCATAGCCAAAATTACCCCCTTATGTAGATATATCTATTGATATCAACTTCCTGTTTGCAGACTATGACCAGACACAGCACCAACATAAGACATTGTCAAACTAATCAAGATGAGAGATAGAGAGAGTATGGGATAAAAGAACAAGGTTTATTACGTAAAATGGAATGAACATGAGAAGAAGGAATATTACACATTCGGCAGCAAGGATAATCATTCCAATAAGAAGGAAGTGAATTACGACTGTGGGGATTGGACGGAACAAATGCGATATAACACTGCGAGTTAGCGCGGGCGAGAAGGAGGCAAAGTGAACCTCAGCGAAACAGCGTCTATTGTGTGGAATGGAATAAACAAGAGAATAATGAATAATACTCTCCAAAAGTTCAAAAATGGGGACGAGGGAGAATCATGCTTATAATAGTACAAATAATTATGGGTGGGAAGGTGGGGGGGAGGATAATTCCAACGAAGGCTATGTACACGCGCCAGCACAAAAGCCGGCGACTGAAGGCGGCGGCGGCGGCGACGGTGGGAGGGTCGGTGGTAGGCACAGGGATTGCAGAAAACAATGACGCTGGTATCTAGAAAGGGGAGAGTGTTCAGTGAGCCATGGTTGAGTACCCGTTAGATTGAACAGCACTCTAGATTAATTGGCGTAGCCTATGCTTTGGACTAGAATGAAAAATATCTGTGCTGTCATGGAGGCCGTATTTCAGTCCTCAGGGCAACAACATGGCAGCCAGCGACAAAAACCTCAAGAAGTATAGCATGGCTAAAATGTCTGCATGAATTGGACTGTAAATGAGTGCACAGTAAGAAAGGAAGCAAGTCTCCTAGTAAGCGTGAATATCAGAATAAATGAAGTCGATACAATGGCAAGGAGGAGATGGGCGGTTGGAGACTTACCGGCAAGCATAGAGACAGGCATCGGATAGCGGTTCGCCCAGACCCTCTACGGACACCGGCTGGCTGCCCCGGTGCAGACACTGTGACAACCAGGGCCAGTGCTCAAGTAGCAGCTCCAGCACCTATTGATGGTGATGGTGGCAGACATAAAATAGCATAAGCATGCGGTAATGACCAGTAAAGGAAGAGGGGATTACATGGAGAGACGTGAAAGAGGGCAGCTGTTGGGTAATGCATACCTGACTGTTGGTCTCGGCATCGTCCGTGGAGCCGAAGAGAGAGGGTGTGAGACATAATGCCAGCGCACGTGGGGACATGCGGTTGATGGCCTGAAGGGCCACAACCTCCCGTAGGTGGCGCATGACAAAGTCAAGCGTGGCCAATCGCCACCCTCTCTCTCGGTCCTCAGCCTTTGAAATGCCAGGGCAGCCAAATGCCTTCATGAGAGCTACTCGCAACTGGCATAAGGCGCTCGCCAGGCCTGCCGGTGTCCGCAGAGACCGGCCACCTCTCTCCGACGCTGTCCCCATCGCCGTCGACGCCACAAAGGAGACAAACATGTTGGCATTAAGAAGACTGACAGGTAGTGCGCCCACGTAGCGCTTGATGGCTGACGATAATGTGCGACCATCAAGCGCCTCCTCATCCCACACCAGTCGGTCACACAGCTCCCCCGCACCCTGAAAGGGCAAACATATGCGAATCTGCATGTTAGTGTACAACTAAGGGTAAGTCAGCTGAATATTCTGTGTTGCATGATGTTTCACTGCATGCATAGGATTAATGAGGTAGGTGACTTACGGAATTTGCCAGTTGAATTATTTCTTGAACCCTGGAGGCGCGTCCTGGCACTCGATAAATGCCTTCCATGCAGAGGCCACGTCTACGCAGGGCCTCGACCATCTCCACCAGTAGGCGTGGGACACCCTGGGTGATGCAAGAAGGAATACGTTTAGTGACAGGATAGAGCAGGCAATGAAATGTAAAATGCCCTCTCTGGCCGCCGCCGCCACCGCCGCCGCCGCCGCCGCCACCGCCGCCGCCGCCGCCGCCATCATCATCATCATCATCATCATCATCATCATCATCATCATCATCATCATCATCATCATCATCATCATCAGCATCATCATCAGCATCGGCATCAGCATTATCATTATCATGCGTCCAGAGTACTTACTGTGTGATGAGGCGCCTCTGCCTGCTGTGTCAAACGGCCGCCGAATGCGGCCCCCGGGAAGTCAGATTGCGGGCAACCTGGAAGGAGGGAAATAAATAGCCTGATTGCTGGTAATGTAGACGTGCCATAAGGCATTTCTGGTTGCCTCACATTTGCCAACTTTAACATGCCTCGCCAAGAAGTAATATTGAAGGCTACAACTAACGTGAAAATGGACTGAGAATATTCGGACATTGGCATAAATGCATGTCGTCCTAACGACTCTGTGGAATCAACACAGTCGCAACTTGCAACCTGGTGTATATGGCCTGCATCGTGTGGCTAATCAAGTAGGCAGAAACATTGTTGGTGTATGAGAGCGTCCATAGTGTCTGGGACGCGTAGTATAAGCTCAGGCTAGGCAATCAAGAAAACACTACTAGTGTCTCCTGGACCAGTTTCCATCCTACCTCTATTTTACTATAGTGTTGAGACTGAAAGACGGGAGCCTGGGAACAATCCAACACAAGACATTATCTTAACCAAAATCAAATTCCAGACCATCGTACATTTATTGATCCGACAACGATGAGATGATACAGCACTTACCACTGGAAGACAGCACATATGAGTGCTTCTTGGCCCATCTGGCGAGCCGTCCAAATAATTGTGTCACTTTTTGCGCCCGGCGCCTTGAGCAGTTCACCGAAGTAGTCGGGGTAGCGTTCGCCATTGCCAGTCTCTGAATTCTGACGCGCAAGTCGTTTGGCCACGTTCAAACGCCCCAACATCGATCGACATGTAGTCTGGCACAAAATCGATTCAGGACATTTGAATTGCCAGATACCCTCACAGGCGAAGCAAAGTGTCTTGAAAAATCCCAGGAAGGTGGGAATTTGACCATGATAGTGGGATATTATGCAAAGTTATGTGGGACCCATTGTTCAGTGTTAGTTTGGGTTGGGCTGTGATGAGGTATGTAGACAACGTCCGAAGTTAGGTTTAAATTAACCCAACATCATCACAGTTAATCCGACCAATTGACATAATCGTTGTGAACGAATTAATGTACTGAGCATTGTGCATCGGGACCAGTTCATAATAGCAGCGGTGAGCAGTTTCTCCAATTGCTGGGTCAGCAATCAATTTTACCACCCCAAAATACGGTCCCCCTGTGTCGTCGGATACATAAAGAAAATATACGAAGCATAATATCCGTCTTATTTATTCAAGAGGCAATTCAGTTGACTGAAAGTCAGCCAACGGTAGAAATGATATATCATGCGTCTGCAGCTTGCGAGGATTAGAGCCACAAACTATCCTCTGCTCGGCCGCAGGGCAAGGAAATGATGAGACCTGAGAGGTAAATAATGCAATTCGACAGGGTATGTCGGTTGGGTTGATAGAATTTACTTTGCTGGAGGAAGGATAAATTGAGTCTCAACGCAATATCCCATGGACTGTTCCCTTACCCCCGGAAGACATTTGGTCTCTGCCGACGACTGATTATAGACCTAAAGGCAGGGCGAGAGAAATCAACGCCATGACCGGGCATAACATCTGATGAACGCAACTAATCAGTATATATTCGGTAGTACGACTGGTGGACAGAATGAATTCGGAGGAAATTGGAACATAGAAAGGCACGCGTTCGAGGTAGCTATTCAGAATGGCGATCTTTTGAATGTGGAACGGAATGAGAAAAAAAGAGTTTTACACAACGAAAAATTCCGGACAATAGGAAAGAGTGCAGTCCGATGTGATCATGCGCTGTCCCAGCTCTGATTGGCTGGCGGACGCGGAGACAACGGAGGGCGCATATAGGCGCTGGGACACAACACCTCGACGGCGCACTCAGACAACAACCTGCATGGAGTGTGTGCTCGCGGGGACTGCCTACAGAGCCTTCTGTACGCGCTTTCCAAACAGTAAAGGTTGTCCGACTCAAACTGACTTCTCTGACTTTTAATTGGGAATCTTTATCTTGTCGACCACACTTCTTTCGACAGGGACCTCACGTTACTTGCTTGGGAACCATTCAATGACCGAATGGCCTACGTGCGACTGATGGACCACTTTACGAAAATCTCCATTGTCTCTGAGTACGCACTTAATTCAGCTGTCGAACTGTGCGATAAAGAGGAGTTTCAGTCTCAGTTGCAAGCGTTAGTTGAAAGACTCCTTCTCCGCGCTCTGCTGATTGTTGCCGGGGATTGGAATGATCGAACTGGGCCTGAGGACTTCCCTAACAGTTATCTTCTTGGCCGCTTTGTGTTTGCATCTCGATGTGAAAATGGCGTGAGGTTGCTGAAATTCGCTGATCAGAACCGACTGCTTGTCAATCGCATTTCACCAATTGTAATCATGTTCATGGCAGATTGGATGGCCCATGGGTCGGACCATGTCCTCATTCGAGCACACCTGATGGTTCGCCTTTCATCCGCGCCACAAATGCCCCCTCCTAAACGTCTAGATGTCGCATAAATGCCGCAAACCAGCACTACGGAGGCCTTCAGCAGAGAAATCCGGTCCTGTTCTACGACCCCCCCAGCGGACGGACAAGGCAGTAACCAACGGTCGTCACCGTCGAAAACGTCAATCTATGGGGCAGCTGAGAAAATCCTTGGATATACGTAGCGACGCCACAGTGATTGGATCAGCGGAAAAGCCCTGCAGTTGTCTGCTCAGACGGTTTAAGCCAGGCTACGTATTGATGATTCGCTCCGCCAAATCTGAGAAATGACGGCAAATTCGGACAGGGATGACCGGGAGAAATATTGGATTGAAATATCGACCTGGATTGCACAAACCTCGAACGTTGTGACACTCGAAAATGCTAACAAATTATCCACCAAGTGAGTGGTAAGTCCTTCACACTGCGTGACACTGTTCCCAACGTGAATGACGACTTTAGTGGAGTTCTAGCGTGAGCACGTTGAGCACCATCTCAACTTTTATATCCAACCCAGCACGCCGTTGCTCTCCTCTGCAGAGGAGTTTCTTCCCCCTCCTGCCTATGCAGTGTCATGCGACCCTCCTTCTGAAACAGAAGTCTCCGATATCATACGAAAGCTACGCAACATTGACGTTAATGCGAAGATAATCACTACTATTAGCTATTATTATTATTAGGCAATTTTCCCTATCTATGCTACCAGCAAGTGAAGGCCGTCTGCTTTGTTGACTTTGGCGCCACGTTCGATTCCGTCATTCGTGCGTCCCTGTGGCGGATAATGGCACCTGATGACGTATCGATAAAATAATCGCCATGATCGAGGTCTACAGTAGTGAAATGTCAGCTGAAATTCCCAAATGAGTTTTCATTTCGAAATGATTAATTAAATAGGGTTGTAAAGCTTATCAACCTGCAGTATAATCACATAATATTTCAGTTACCTGACGATGCCGGCTGTCGAATGAACTTCCTTCCGCCTGCATGCAGAACTATGCTCCGCAAGAAATGACTACTTACGTAGCGTGCATTTTCCTCATGATTTTAGATGCCCCTAAATATTCAATTAGAATACATGAAAAACATACATAAAAATATTCATTTTCTTGCGCATTTGGTAGAAAATGACGTTTCCTTCCAACTTCATACTTGATGGAAGGATATAATTCGGTTTTCTAAAACTTCCTAATTGTGAGATTTTTTAATACCGCGAAATGGTCGTTCCTAGAACGTCATGTCTCTGTATTTACTAATATGGTTTGTAAAGTTAACAATATGGATCAAATCCATTGCTACATGTTATGAACCTCATATGGTCTCCCTTCAATACCTTAGAGAAATGTGGGTTATCCGTACGCGGAAAATACATGGCTTGTAGTTTGGAAACCCTGAATGAAAGCGTGACGGCAGAGCGGGTTCAAAATTATTCGGGAATTTGAAATGTTTTCGGAAGCCGAACAATACCATTCCGTCGAGTATACATTTGGAAGAAGACGTAAATGTCTACCAAATGAGCGGAAGAATGGATATTTTTATGGATGTTTTGCATAAATTATAATTCGACATTATGAGGCATCAAAAATCAATGAAGAATTTTCATGCTAAATATGTAATTAATTTTTGCAGACTTTAGTTCTTGCATGCAGTCTTTAGTAAGTTCATTTGGAAGCCGACATTCTGAGGCAACTGAATTATGATGGAATTATGCTCCGAGATGGTTAGTTTTACAACCCTACTTAATTAATCTTTACGAAACGAAAACGCATTTTGACATTTCATGAGCTAACCCGCCTACTGTATTATCGCTCCGCCATCGCGCAAGTACTCGTAAGCAACAATCTTTCCCAGCCGTTTGCTAATCGGTCTGGCGTTCGACCGGGTTGTATCCTGTCGCTCATTCTGTTCAAATAAGCTATTGCCTGGATTCTCGGGAGGGCCCTACACGAGGGTGACGGTGTTGAATTTGCACCCGGACACCGACCGACTGATCCCGAATATGCTTATGATATTGCCCTACCTGCTTCACGTTTTGGTGATCTGTAGTCTATGGTGCCGCGGGTGAACAATGTCGCTAAATCGGTCGGTTTATCCATAAGCGCTGGGAAGAATATAGTGTTTCCAAGCTGCATTACTGAGAAGAAAAAGACGAAGAAGAAGAAGGTAGATTTCGGGATTGGTGACTGTCAACTTTAAGAAGTAGACAGTTTTGAGTACCTCGGAAGGAGGCTGATGTCGATTAGGCAGAGTAAGGATGACATTTTCTCCGGAATAGATGCTGCCCCACGGATCTTCTCAAGAAATAGAAAATGCCTAAGGATCAGACGCGTTATCATCGCCACTATGATTCGTGTGTACTGCGTATCTGTCCGTTCCCTCCTTCACTATGATTGTAAATGCTAAACTGTGCGCGAGGAGGACGAGCGAAAACTGGAGATATTTGACCACCGCCGCTTGAGGACATTCCTTCGAGTGAGGTACGCCGACATCGCCTCAGATGAAACAGTTAGTACTCACGGTGATAACAGAGCGAACATACCCCAGGCCATCCAAAAAAGGCGACTGAGGAGGTTTCAGCATGTTCTTCGTTGTCCACCTCAGGAGCTCACTGTTGCTGCGCTCGATCCGGCAACGTTGCCCCATTGGAGGCGTCTAGGAAGGCGCTAACTCGGAACCTGACTCGACAGAATTCGTCAAGACATGGAGGTGGTTCTTGGGCCTTCGGCATTTGGTATCCGTCGTTGGCGAAGGGAATGGATTGAACTCTCCGTATCTGCTGCCGCGGATGGTGACGCGTGCAGAGGTACAGTTCGGCACTTGATCGAGGCTAGCTAGATCAGGCATGATCGCAGCCGTATCGAGTGCATGTACAAGTACCACACCCATCATCCCCGGCAGGATATCATCGGATACACCGAATGCGGCTATTCCTGTTGATTCGCGCTGGCCTACGTGGCTTAACCATTGGAGA